TATATATATATAACATATATATTCCACAGACCATGGATTGGTTTGATTATAAAGCATCTTTTGTCTTATTGGTATCTAATTTATTTGTCATTCTTCTGTTCTATCTGAATGTTCGGGAACTTAGGAAAACCAGTTTTTTTAAATTGAATTTTGATTTTTAAGATTTTATGATTGTTACCTTGGTTACAATTTTCGACTGTGCACCTAAAAGGTTGATAGATTGAAAGAACTTATTGATTCAATTTCAATAAGTTCTTTCAATATGTTTGATATTTTCAAACATATGACAAAAGTTGCTTTATAAGAGGGTGGTAAAGAGCACATAATATGTTTGATATTTACAATTAAGTTCTTTCAATATGTTTGATATTTACAATTACATTAAAATAAGTTCTTTCAATATGTTTTGATATTTACAATTACCTTGGTTACAATTCTCGTGCTCTTTACCACCCTCTTATAAACATTTTCATGATATCAAATTGTATGATAGAGATATAATTAGCTTAGAGAGCGTTAGGCTTTTATTCTAAAATATAGTTTTTTTTTTGTTAGTAACATGAGTCAATGCAATGATCAATGAATTCTTTGCTAAGCTTATTCATAGTATGTGTGATCGCATGAGAATTTGTTTTCCACTTATGAGCTATGTTAGAGTGCCTATGTTTGTATGAGAAGCAATGTGGCGTATGATGATTTTGACGTGATGAAGTTTAAGATGGACGGTGGGTTTTATGGGGCATTAATCGAAGCCAAACAAGTATTAGACTTGAATAATTTAATATCTTTGGTATCTTTTTGTCAAGAAAGATGCTTCAATCTCAAGAAATGTAGAAGTCTTTAAAAATTTTATGGTTGCACTTGGAAGTAAAGATAGATTTTCTCTATTTGTTGTATTGTAAAGCTTTGATTTGAGCTATATTTTTTATCATCGTTTGTGTTGGCATTGGGAAAGTAGTAAAAAGTTTTGTTGCCGCAATTTAAGGTTCAGAGCAAAAGACAATGCTTGTTTAGGGGAATAATATGTGAATGATCATGTGAATCAATCTTCCATTTCGTATTTTGACGTAATGTTAGGTCCTTGCATTGCAGTTGGAGCAAAGACACGACCTATTGGGGGTACAAAGATTTAATGGTATATGCCCTTTTATAATAAGTAGATCCATTTTAGTGTGCAACTTCTATGCCTGGCGGTAAGTTCAAGCATTATTATAGTTTTGGTTGTGTAGCGCTCAACGTATATTGGCATTAATATAGTTTTGGTTGTTGAGGAGTTATATATGATATTCAAACTTGTTTTTGCATTATTTGCAAATAGGGAAGAATTATAAAGATTTATGTCCAATAACATGGCTTGAATAAGCCCAAAATTCAAAATAGATGAGTACGCGATAACAAAATTATCCTCTTTTTTTTCTTTTTGAATAAGAATATGTTAAAAAATTTATTACATATTTTGCTACTTTCGATTCTAGTTAAGGGTGTAATTTATTCGAGCCTGAGCGAGCTGAAGGCTTGTTCGTGTCCGGCTCGTTAAATTTTTTTTTGTTCGTGTTTGGTTCTTGTTCGAGCTCGAATTAAATTTCAAATTTTATTTTATTGAAGTTATATATATATATAATATTTTGCTTTTCAATGGGCCATAAAGTTATACATATATATTTTTTATGTCGCGTTCGAGCTGGAAGGCGCAAAGCTGAAAATGTCTTAACACCCTTCCTTTTATTTTTACTTTTATAGAGAATTCTCAATGCAATTTTCTTGAAAGTCCCGATGTGGGACAAAACTAAGCTCCCTTACACCACATGTAATAGTGGGCCTGGGTCGTAGGCATGAAGAACTTCTGGGAAAAATAGTGGGTTCATTTACATAAATACCGCCCAAATCTTATGTACTTATATGCCTAACATCTAAAATTTCTTTATTTTTTTTTAATCAGAGTGGCATTTACATGCACACCACCCAATTCTTATGTATTTATATTTCTAGAATCTAAAATTTATTTTTAAATTATTTTATATTTTACAGGTTCATGAATATCTGGTATTTATCTTATGTATTTTGTTAATGTATATTTATTTTAATTTTTTAGTTAATATGATTTTAATAAATTATATATATATATTTTTAATTTAAAAATAATACTCATCAAATATACATATAAATAAAATAAATAAATAAATAAATAAATAAATTATTAATTTTTTTTTGGCATAAGATTTACATATTTCCATGCACATAACATCTCAATCTAAAACACATACCTAATCCTAAAGTATTAAAATAATATTAAAAAAAGTACTAAAAAAGAAATTGAGGTGTGTGTGTGTGTGTGTGTGTATATATATATATATATATATATATTATGTGTGTGTGTGTATAATTTAATTATTTCGAGCATAAGCAAGATGAACACGAGTGAACAAATGTTTATTCGTGTTTGGCTCGTTTATAAATCGAGCTCAAATTTTTTTTTTGTGTTCGGCTTGCTTGCTTAATGAACGAATTAAAAACGAGCACACGAGTCACTTAACGAGTCGAACAAGAGTTGTTCGCAAACAACGACCTATTTTGACAAACCTAAATAATCTAATTATAGTGTAGGACGATTAAGGCAGCCTCTCACTTTATCAAAACAAATGCCAAGTTTTATGACAATTAAATGTAATTTGTAAGCTATCTATTTTTAAATTTTTAAAGAAGTTAAAGGAGCCCTTTTTGTGAGATATGGGGAGTATTTAAAATATTGATTTCTTTTTGGAAACTCATTAATCAAATTAACTAGGGATTGTTGCTGGCAATAAAGGATTTCAATAATTTTTCTTATTTGGTTATTTTTTTAGTTTTCAAAATGAGAGTCAAGTGTTTGCTATTATATTTTGATTTCTACAACACCATTATATTTTGTTCCTCATTTCTTCAAAAAAGGGAATAGCTTTGATATTTTGTACATCTTGTAGAACTTGTGTCTATATGTTGTTGTTGTGCTACTGGTTTTTGATTGATTTGCAAATCAACTATACTTAAGATTTTTGAATCCGAATGCTTCTCTTACTCTCTAAACTTGTTCTTCTACATTCCCACCTTCTTTACCTCATTAAAATACAGCAACTTAGTACCTCATTTAAATTGAGCCATTCCTTTTCCATATTTTTTAACTTCTGCTTTTCACTTCCTGTGATTAGTCTATATAAAAGTTTCAGAACTTCTTATTCACTTTTCCATTTGACAAAGATTATCTCCATTAACTAACAACCCAGGTCTCTGATTTGTAGGCTCTCACCCTTTAAGTAAATCATGAAAATTTATTTCAGAAAGTTGGCAATCAAATATTTGTCCTATAATCTTAAAATCTATCAATACCTTCTGCAACCTTCTGCGAACTCTAAATCTTTCCCCACTATTCTATCAACCCTTAAAACCATGTTCAAACCTCCCCATCAAATTAACTCAAAGTTAAACTTTAAACTTGAGTTAAATTTCCACCTATTTAGTGGATGCAAACTTGTTCGGGTGGTAAGGGCTTTGGAAATTGTTACCAGTCTTTATTTGAACCTCACCTTAGCTTAGTAAATTCCATTCTATGGGTTTTGGGGTGCTAAAACTTATTAATCTCCTTAAATTCTTTTATTAATGGAAGGAGAAGAGGAGTTGGTGACCGGGTATATGGTGGAATGACATTTATTAATAGAAATTGGAATAAAGGGGATAAAAGGATAATATATGTATATCCAAAAGCTATTGATGTTTTACTCCCGATAATACTAGATTTTTGAATCCTCACGAGAAAAAAAAAGGAAGACAAAGTAAAGGTTGTAGGAAGGCTTCTTTGGATACATCTAACTTCAAAATTCCAAATTAATAAATGATTAAATTTTATTCATTTAACCCTATATTTAAAGGAATTAATACTCTAATTAAGGACAAAAGCATTGCCGTACCTCTTATATTTTAAACCAACTTAACAATAAAAATTATGAATTTGAGAATATAATAAAAAGCATAAAATTGATCTGCTTCTGCTCTTTTGATATTTTCTTTGACTCTTTAGGATTTTCCTATGGGAAATGGAGCTTGTTTGAACCGAATTGACTAAATGGTTCCATAACATTGGCCATACTTTATTATTTTAACCACTATGAGAACTCTCCTCATGAGCATAAAGGTGGTAGACTCTCTTCACATGGTTGAAAAATTAATAATGCATTCCATTGGAAAATTATTATATCTTGAAGAAATCACATCTCTATCTTTTAAGAACAAGTATACCATTTACAAATGTAATAGAAGTACCGATGCAAAAATAGAAGCAATCAATGTTCTTCTTAAACTGCACCTATAAGGCAATAAGAAGCAGAGGTTTGAATGTGTCACAACTTGGTAATAGATTTGAATATCAAAATTTTATCTATGTTTGGACCTGCATTATAATGTCTTGTACCTGTTGGTTGAAATTAAAACCGTCAGTCATTAGCTGCTACAAACTGTTTATTGTTGTGCAAGGAGTCTTTGGAAATGCTTCAATCTAGTTGATAAAGACTTTCTTCTTGTTTTATCTTCACGAGCATTATTAACCCTGTAAACTTTTTCCAGGTGAATCCTCAATTTTTTTTATGAAGGAAGTTTTGATAACATTATCACAATTCACCCTCAATGTAGATGGGAAGCATAATATGAAGCCTGTAAGTAGGAATAGCAGCTGTTATATATTTAGAGATTTTGTTATTATAGAAGAGATGTTATGATAATTTATTTTTCTGCTAATTGTAATGTTTGGTTATTCATTTTTTTCTAATTTTTAATATTATACGATCTTGCCCTTCACTAATCTCTTTTCCTCCCGTCGCTTAACATGATATTTTTCTGCACTGCAGACTTTTGCGATGTTATTGTTTATCATGTATTCATCACTATGCAACCCTAGAAAACATTAATATAAGGCCTACATAGAGACTAAAATTTATTGTCAAATATCTATGTAGTGCAAGAATTGATGAGCTGTAAACTACATGTATTTTGATTGGTAGATCTTCATGTATGATATTATAGATACATTTCTTTTCGTTCCTACTGGTTTCTTTTCACAAGCTTGTTAAATTTACCCATGCTTATTTGTTTCCTTAATATTTGCCTTTCTTCTCACAGTTAGAGCAATGCATTGGAGCAGCTGTCATTGCAATGGGTCCTGAGAAACTGCTTTCATTGGTACCCTTAACTTTTGATATGGAAAAATCATCCTGCTCAAATTCATGGATCATACCTATTTTGAAGAAATATGTAATCGGTGCCTCACTTCAATATTTTCTGGACAATATTGCTCCTCTAGCAGAAGATATTCAAGAAGCATGTAAAAGAGGTATAATCTAAAATACTAAATGCTAGAAGTTCTTCATTATAAGTATTTTAGAATCTGTTACTTTTTATTTATCAGTTGAGAAAGAATCCTGCCGGAAGAGTCTACAGTCATGTTTCTATAGCCTATGGGATCTACTTCCTTCCTTCTGCCGATACCCAATTGACTCGCCAGAAAAAATCAAATCACTTTTTGAACTATTCTTGGTTGTTTTAAAGGAAGAGCCATCTTTACATAAAATCATAGCTTCTGCTTTGCAGGTTTAGCCTTCTGCAAATATGTCTGGGCATCTTTGTATGCTTATGTATGCATTTTTCTCATGGTGTATTGTTTTAATTAGAGAAGTTTATTTTTTGACTGGTTTGAGTGCATCCAGGTGCTTGTCAATTCGATCAGAGATGACAATCGACATTGTGTAGATGAGCCATGCAGCTTTTTCTCTCAAAATTTTAATATGGAAGTAAAAAAATTTCGCTATTCAAAGAAAGTTGCATCAAAAAATATGAAGGCCATGGCGTCTAGGTCGTTGGAATTGTTTCAAATTCTCAAAGATATATTCTTTGAGTCTCCAGATAAACGTGTATATTTTAAGGTGTGTTTCTTTTTTTTTAAATCTTTCTGACTCTACAGATAACTACTTAACGGAAAATTATTTACCCTTGAATTTACATTGGTGTTAATTTTCACAAATGATGGACATTTTTGTTCTTCAAGATTATCCCCAAAGAAATATATGAGAGAAAATTCGAGCCATACTACCAATATATTCCTTATTTGCAAATCTTACATTGAAATAATTTACATCCTATGATGAAATCATTGAATATTTAACAAGACATTGAGAATGAGAGTTGTTAGTTCTCCTGTATTCTTCAAAATTTGTGTTGTATTGTTATATACAGAAGTTGTTTGTTGGTATTTTTGTAAAATTAAATAAAATTTCAGCCTTGCACCGTAAGTTTCTAAAAATATAGTAATAGTCTTGTATTTACAATTGTTGTTCTTATTATATTTATTTTCTTGGCTTCTTACTAGGTTTTATATAATTTGAATACTAGGTTTTATATAATTTGAACCTGCTTGATTTGAACTATCAAAAGGGGAGCTCAACCTGCATTGCTGTAATGCTTGTTCTAGGCTAACATCTAAAGGATTATAATATAGATATGCATACTCAAACATAGGTAATCTTTATCCTTATAAAATAATGTACCCAAAATCTGAATTTAAATATTTAGTCACCAAATTTTTATTCTAAAGAAATGGAGCCGATTGGAAATTAAAATGATTCGGATGCTAAGTACCTCTAAAGTTTAAACCTATGGTTTAGATGCTATAAGATGTAGCGTTTAGGTGCTCTATGATGTAGCATTTTTAAGGCTCTAGTTTTCTAATACTACTAATTAATGCTATAAATGAAATTCAAGCACTTAAAAATTAGAATTTAGAATTCATATTTAACAGAACTCTAATTAAAATAATTGCTATTTCTTTTGATGCAGCAAAGAAAATACGTAAAACCTATAGAAACATGGTATCGTCTAATCACAGGATTTTCTTGAGAAAATTGAGACTGTAAAGTTCAGTCTTTTTCTGAGATATATGCAGCGATTAGAAACCCAGTTTGTAGCAATTTTGAACGACAACAATCATGCTTGCAAAAATGAAAATATATAGCAATAAAAGTAATTAGGTAAGAAATTACCAATACATGCTTGCTTAATCTCAGAAGGATGAGATGTCTTAAAAAAGTGCAATCAATAATTACATTGTACTTAAAGAATTCAACATACAACAATAATACAAGTTTGAGAGAAAAATAACCACTAAACGGTAAACAACCAACTTTTCTTTGCATGTCTCAATAATTCCATATTTATAATCATAACATTCTTTCAAATAATGAAGTGTTCAAATTAAATCAGTATTAGTTTTCTCTCTGTAAATTTCTTCATAAATGATACACTTGTAACAACATGCGATAAGGCTAAGAAAACTGCTTACAGGGATGCTGGCAAAAGTTGGAGGCGGATGTCACAGGATCCCGTGAGATAATGAAACCGAATTTGTTGTAAGCATACATGGATTTATTCTGCTACCCCAACAAAAGTAGTAATCGAATGAGTTTGGCCAACAAAACCCATTTACAGCGGAAATAACACTTCTATAGTGAAAGTTATGTTCACAAGCATATCTACAAAATCAACGGCAGCAACACAAAATATTTAGAGTAGCAATATCTGAACTAAGGAACCAGTGACTGAATCAACTCAAGCTAACATTGGGAACCAATTAATCCAAAATAAATATTAGAGAACACTGCCTGTCCTCATATTATAGGCACATTTTCACCAAAATAAATTATTAATATCAGGAAAAAAAAGTCAAACAAACCAAGGTAAATTATTGCCCAAAATTTCAGCTTATTTTTCTTTTAGGCACAGACTTTCGGATTCCCATCACCGCATAAGATGCTTATAAAAATAAACTTTTTGATTCACGTATATGCAAATATTTAAGGCTTTGTTGTTGTTGTTGTATATGCAAATATGTAAAACTTTGTTAACATTAGTTACATAAAAAAGTTTACTATTATTGAAGGCTAAATTGAACATCTTTCTTTAAATAAACACAAATTCAAATGCAGTCTGATTTCTCCTATGAGGTTCATAATGTGTGGGGGAGATGGCCAACTTCTATGAATAACTTGTCCCAGTCTAAGTGTCTTAGGTCATAGCTTGGATGAAAATAAGGCTTGCCATTTTCCAATTCCTGACCTGTTTTTATTTTTATTTATTTTATTATTATTATTATTTTTAGCAGAGATTGTGAAATTAGCTCAATGATATACAGGCTTTGCTGCATATTTACTTCTTTTGGATTCTCTATTGCATTTAGCCTTAAAGATATCAGCTCAATGCGAATGACATTTTAATTTTGGTTAAATTATATTTATTTCCTTGGCCCCTTTCATTCATGCGAACTTTATTAAGCACGAGAATTAGAAGAAAAAATAGAGATGAAAGACTCAGCAAGGATATTAAAGCTAATTGATTGTGAGAATGGAATCAGTTATTAACTAAATTTTTTTCCATTTTAACAGGATGCTCTTGGACCCCTTGCTTTTATCATACCAAGCGAATACTTAAAGAATTTTTTTTATTCAGAATTAGCAAGTGTCGAGCAATCATGTGATTCAGCAGATTCTGAGAGATTAGATGATCATGCACAAGCCGAATACAAAAAGGCTGGTGAGGGCAAAACTTTGGGAAAAAATGAGGAGAAGAGGTGATAAACAGACTATGCACTGAATTTTTCTTGTTATATTTATTTCTAAAAATGCATTAAATCCATACTGAATTTTTCTTGTTATATTTATTTTCTTTATATGCATTATATCCATTCTCTTTATATAGGATCACTGATTGCTATGAATTATGTTTTCTTTCCGGTTCAGTTATTGTGTTGTAGTCTTATATACCTGTTTACAGTAGCCCCTCATTCAGGGTGTTGAGTTTCTCGCTTTCATACCTCACAATTTCAGTGAAATTTTAGCATCTTTAAAAAGTAATTGATTATGTGCGAGCACAGTTTGTTTAATTTGGAAATCTCATATATGTTATGTTTATTGAATGAAGCTTCATTAATTGGTTCATTGTAGGCAAATATTTTTTTTGCTTGGTCAAAATCTGATATGCGCTAGTGATGTAACTCTTGAAATTAGTGTTTTTATCTTCATGTATATTGCCATCCTGATAATTAATTTGCTGACCTTGCAATTACCATTTGCTCAGTCTATCTTTAAAAAACGGAAGTATTTAAATTATATGTGTGGCGTTTGTTTTCTCTTGATAGAAGGCAAGATAGTGGGCTGGGTAGAAAGTTTGACTTGATAATAGTTTTTTGAAAGGTCTGTTCTCATTTGCATGCTTTACGTTAAAAGTCATATTTTAAGAAAATATAAATCATCAATTCTATCATTCTATTGGATCTATTGGGCCATAAATATGAATTTCAAGTCTTAAACTGCCTTTAAAATCCTTCATGTGGGACGAAATGAATGAAGAATCATCACAATTTTTAAAAATATATTTTATTTCCACAATCAACCAAATGATTTCATATAGGAATCTGGTTTGTCTTTTTTTTTGGTTGGTTGCATCTTACCAGGATTTTGGTCTGCAGACTTTTTACCCGCACAATGAAATATAGCAATGCTAGGAACTAAAGGTTTTTAAGGGGTGATGCTGGTCTAAGATTTGATACCATCTCTTTCAACAAAACTGTAAAGATAGGCTTATAATTTCTTCATGCTCGGGTTGCATGTAAAATTATATTTTAATATCTGTTTGATCTTAGTTTCCTCCTCCTGATATTTGTTTATCCAGAGTTACAATAGCTGAAGTTATCTTCTTGTTTTTTAGTAAGACAAACACTTAGTTCTATACAATCAGATTCTATGCCATTGCTTTGTTACTTTGTATCTTTGAAAAGTTTTCTGTATCCTTATTTTGTGTTACCATTTGTTAAAAAGTATTCTCACTTAGGGAGGGTCATTAAGCTGTTTTATTCACAATATTTGTTTATTATACATTATGATGAAGTTGATGTGAGTTTAATCTTATGCAGATGTTTACTGATGGAGCTTGCATCTTCTTTTGTGGCGGCAGCAGACACTGATCTTACTAATATAATATTGCATCTTATTAGATCCTCTTTATTGGTACTTTTAGATCTCTATGTTCTAAATTGGCACTTGCTTTTGAAGCATTAACTAGTTTTTCTTATCCTGTATGAACTATGTTATTATTCAATCCTCCTGTTTACCTTGTGTTTCTAGGATACCAATGGAGTAATCCAATGCGAAGCTTACAGTACTTTAAGTCGAGTTTTGGAGGTTTGTTATTTTATATTTGGTGCTTGTCTTCTTATTGGGAGTGCTCTGCTTTTGCCGCTTGCTTACTTGATACCCTTTCAGGAGAAGGATTCATATTCTTCTGCTCAACTTGATGAGCTAATTGAGCTGCTTTTTGCTGTGAAGCCGCCTGTTGATACCAGTAGTCTGAAGAACCGCTTTTCATGTTTCGAGTATTTGCTAGTATACATATTAAAGGTAATAATTATTTTATTGTATTTCACCCCTTGATGTTTTGAAGGAAAGAATTATGCAGTCTTTATTATTGCTTAAGTTGACACTATGTAATAGTTTTGAATAAAAGCATTGTAGTTAAAACTCTAAAGTTGCAGGGCCAATGTCAAATATGGGACTCTTATTAGAGAGCATATACAGGACAACTTATTTTCTTGAAGTTGTGTAAAATTGTGTTTTCTTGGATGTATTGAGGTGGCCATCGATTAAGCTTGACGAAAAGTCAAAATAAGCAACAAAGAAAGCTGAAATAATGGGGAGAGTGATGTTTCCTAATGTTGTCCAGTGAAGAAGAGCTAGTATCTTTGTTATTATACCAGCAATCTGAATCTCCTGTTTGACAATCAAATAACAAAACCAAGATGATAATGAGTACATGATATGCAACAGTTAAATGGTGATAACCTGTCGCCTAATTAGATGTAATTAAAAGAGAAATTTGCTCCGGGGTTGCAATTTTTGAACAAATGGAAATATTTTTGGTTGAAATATTGCTCTACTAACAATGCTGAAGGTTTAGGAGTGTTAAATGGTATGTTTTGTGTGTACTAATGTTTAAAATTGCATAGTTAGGTATTAAGTTTTTTGTTTGTGGGTTAGGCGTAAGCATCAAGGCGGTCTGAGGTGTAAGCCTTACATTTTGAAAATTACATAAGTCAAATTAAGTGGGTGAAAATAATTTATTAGCATCGTAACCTATATGTAATAATAATAATAATAATAATAATAATAATAAAGAAACATTCTAGCATAGTAAAATGTGACAACTTACATACATTCTAGCATAGTAAAAAGTGACAACTTACATTTATATGAAACAACAAATCGCATAAGCCGCAAAATATCATATAACAACTTATGCAAAATAAAAATATAATATAAAAATTAACTAATCAAGTCATCTAGGTACCATAAAATATGAAATATAAATAATAAAAAACATCAAAGTAAAACTTAAAATGAGTTTAGCATAATAGACTTCTCTCATTCCTACTGTCGAACCAACATAATAATATTGTTAGATCTAAATAAGAGCATAATAAATAATTAAAAACGGGAGCACTGGGCTATCGTTGTAGCAATAGGAGCAGCTTGCCGCCCCGACAACAGGACCAGTTGGAGGCAGCAGATGGCAGTGACATCAACAGGGAGCATTAGGCGGCTATAGCAAAAGAAGCAGCGGCTGCTATATAGGGAAGGTAATATTCATGTCATGATTGGAATATGGGAGGGATTGAAGGTAATATTGATAGAAGTTGTTCAAAATAATTTATAAAGAATCTGTTAACACCTGAGGCATCAGTCAGTATGAACATATAAAAAAAAATGATTCATAAACCTAATCCCAAAATTGTGGGATAAGAATAATAATGATGATAATGATGTTGAAAGGCTGGCAATAAATTTTGTTGATTTGTTTTATATCAAAATTATTGTATTGGCTACCTGGTCCATGTTTTCTTTGTATTTATCACATAGAAAGCATTGTGATGCTTCTAGAGCTGTTTTACCTTTCTGCTTACTAGTTTTTGCGTAGGACTTCTAGTTTTACATGGAAATTTTTTCTTGTTAATGTGTGATAGAGATATTAACAAATATTTTTCTATGAAGCAAAACCCCATATTATACATGCTTGTGCTATCCCCATCAATGATTGACGAACCCAAGTACATAGACACAAATAAGGGTACTAGGGTGATATCCCTATGCAGTTAAATTTTTGTTTGATCTTTAAACCACATGCTATTTGATTCAATGTAGCATCCTTGTTTATGTACCTTCAACAATATTAGGGATGTTGACTTTTTTGGTTATCATAGTTCAATTTTATAGTTGCCTTATTTACAATTTTTTTTATATATTAAATTCCATTGAACGTTTTTTGGCCTATTCCTTGCATGCGATTGTTACTTCAGGCGCTTCTAATTGCATTTATTTATTTCAGTATTTTTTTCATTTATAGCTCTAATATATGATCCTCTTTTTGCAGAGTAATTTGGCCAACTTGAATGCCAAAGCATTTTTAATTCTGAATGAGATTCTGCTCACGCTTAAGGTTCTACTCCTTTTAAAGCATTTCTAGAAGTAACAATCGCATGTATAATCATTATAGTTTAGATATGTAAATAAAAAAATCGAGTGGTATTTATGTAAAGACTTGAGCTTGGATTGTGCGTATAAATCCATAAGAGTTGCAACATGCATTTTGGTTTTCATTCTCTTTGTACGGTGTGAGTATATAAGTGTTGGTAGCATGGATGTAAACTCATAAGAACTGGATGATATGTATGTAGTTAAAAAATTGAGATTCACATGTAAGACATGTAGCTATGTGCAAGAAGTTAGCATGCAAATCTTCCCTAAAATTCATACCAAACAAAAGGGATGGTCATGATCTTCCCTAAAAAATTGAGATTCACATGTAAGACATGTAGCTATGTGCAGAAGTTGCAATCAAGTTCAATCCCATGACTTCTGTTTTTTTTTAGATAACTTACTTATCCTAGTTCTCTGCAGATCGCTAGTGCTGCAGGCTCATAACTAATTATAACAGAATAAACAGTGCATCGATCATTTTCTTTTAAATGATAAAATTCTTCTAGAAAGAGCAAAAAAAAAAAAATGACAGTGAAGTTTTACATACCAGATAGAGGAAATCCGCTCAGCGAAAGGAGCTGCAGCTGTGTGAGGAGAGGAGGATACGAGCAGGTAAGTTGCGGCGCTTTTTCTGTGTGGGGAAGAGGGAGCTCGCAAGAGAGGGAAGTAAAGTAGGTGCTTCTTCTGCGTGAAGAAGAGGCAAATAGGATCGAGCGGAGCAACCCGAGGCGAGCGGCTTCGTGTCCAAGGAGCAAGGAGGCGGGATCGAGCGGAGCAACCCGAGCCGAGCAGCTAGGGTTGCGATCAAGCGAGGAAGAGGGAGTCGGGTTCGATCGCGAGGAAGGGGCTTTCAGCTGTGAAGAGAGGAGTTTGATGCGAGGGATTGGTCGTGAGAAGGAGAGGTGAGTTGGCGAAGTTTCGGTGCAGAGAGACGAAGTTGAGCGAGGGCGAGCGGTGCCGAGGTCGAGTGAGTGGGAGCGGTCATCGTTTTGTCTGGGAGAAGGAGGCGAGGTCGTGCGGTCGAGAGATCCTGAAGAACGATCGAATCGAGAGAGAAAGGGGGAGTGAGTGGGAATGGTGTTGAATGCCTGGAAGAAGGCGGAGCCGAATTGTATAACCAAATTTTGGATGGAGCCGTTACGTGAAGCAATTGGCGGGGGATTAATTTATTTCCAAGCGCAGAGGAGACTTAATTAGAAAAAAAAATAATCTTTAATTATATCCAATTATTGTGAGATTAAATAATATATTTGAAATTTGAAATTTATGAGCTGAAGTTATTAGCTCGTGCTTCGCCCATATCCAGCCCAAGTTAAACTCGAGTTGAACCTGTGTTGAGCCTGGGCCCACGCCCCGCTATTTAAAAAAATGTGCATCGATTTTCGTGCTAATTGCTCGCGCACGGAACCATAGTGATATGAGTAATTTCTAACTAAAGTCAACGTGTTGGACGCATTCGCGTGGTCCGTTTCGTCATCGGGGATTATCCGGATGAGTTCACCGACGGTCGGGCAGAAAAAGTGTCAAATTTGACTTCTTTGAATTTTGGGTCGTGACAGGTTATTTTGAAAATTGACTTTTGCATAAAAGTTGATGCAATATGTGAATTGTGATGTTCGCGTTGTCAGGTCATGGAAGGTTCAACTATGACCGTCCGATCCTCATGCGAGATTTTCACAAATTCATTTTCGGGCACTTTACATATTAGTCCTTGTTCTTGCAACTAAGAGTTGTGTGCTTGGGACTACTCATGCGAGATTTTCACAAAAATGAGTTATGAAGTAACTCGAAGTTCTATGGGAGGTGGGCTTCATTGTTAGTCCGCTAGGATGGTCAATAAGAACTGCTAAGGCTAGATTTTGGGTTCTGGGAGTAGGAAACTAAGACCTCACTGAAAATAAGATCAACAATGGCGTATCATTTCTATTTGTAATTTAGTAGCATAAATTTTATAATAGACCCATATATAAGCCCATCATGAGGGTGAGACTACTTGCATCATATGTATTTGTAATTTGAAAGCTTAATTTTGAAAATGAATCTACTTATTTATCATACACAAAAACCACCCTTATCATATGGGTGGGACTATTACGTCATTTGTGTTTGCAATATGAAAGCTTGATTTTGAAAATTGATTCGTCCAGTTATTATATACAGTAACTACATGGCATCATATGGGTTTCTGTTTGATGGTACTGGGTCGTTATTGTACCTTATCAACTCATTTTTTGCTCGCAGAGGATCAGATTCATGATTGCATATCATCTTAATTTATCTGTATATTCATTGCATTACAAACCTCGACAACGCTTTCTCATACAATGAGAATTGGGTTTGTACGTTAGAACTTCCAATTATATTTTGTTGGCATGACTCAGAGTTTGCAAAAGAAAATTCTTTGCAAGACTTGTGACTGAGTATTTAATAATTTTAGTACATGAGGCTTTGAAGGTCTTATGCAAATTAAATATAAAATATCGTTACAAGGTTTGTGACTAAGTGTTTAACAGCCAATATGCTTTATTGAGAAAAATTAAAAAATTGAAAAATCCTCTTTAATTGTTATTGTAATAATTCATATAGTGTTTAGAGGTCTTGTTAATTTCAGTCTTGTGGACACAGTATCAGACTTTTAAAAGTAGGACTTCCACCTTATCCTGTAGATAAGACAACTTACTGGGGACGTCATATAATGATATAATATAAGTTTTGAATTTGAAATAGTGTTTCATGGATTTCAAAATGATTGTTCTCTTCTCAATACGATTGCATGGTTCTTGAAGTTGGGCAAAATTATTTATTTATCTTTTGTATTCTGCACGCCATTTTCTAATTTTAAATGAAAATATTTAACATTTGTGTTAGAGATCTGGATAAGTTTGATTTTGACAAATTGATGTCTTTTAGAAGATGCACAAATCTTTCAAAACACTTGAATGATTTTTGTGGTTTATTTATTTATTTATTTAGATTGAAGTAGCCTTGTGATGCACTTGCAAGATTTAAAATTTTACAAACTTATTTTGCAAATATTTTATTTTTGTAATGCTCGGGAAATTTTCTTGAGCTTTGATTTTTGCATTCTTCATGTTTACGGGTTTTTTATTTGCAATTCTATCAAGTTGCTTACGAAACTTTCAAGTTGCAATTTTGTTTCACATTTAAAATAACATAGTTTTTTCTCGTATTGAATTCACTTTTCATTTCAAGCGGACCTTGCAGGAAATCTTTCTTTGCCTAGAATTAGAGGTGCTACCTTTAATTATTTTCATTTCCATTTTTTTTAGTTCACTGTATTTTGATAGTTTTATAGGAAATTTAGTTTTCGTTCGTTCTTATTGTTGAGCCGTCATATTTTTTTAAATTCAGTTCTAGTTTTTCTTTTTAAGTGACATATATAACATTTTGAATGCTGTTTGTTTCTCATGCCACCATTTATGATCTGTTCATTTTCATTTAATGTCACCTTTATGTCTATAAGAGTGTTGCAATTTTGTTCTCCCCATAGTTTAATAGAAATGGCAGCATCTTGGCATCATCTTTGGGTTGGGAGTATTTGAGGGATTGTTAGATCTACCCACATGCTAAAAATGACGTGTTTGAGTAATGTACCAGACATTAAGAGTTGATTTTCTATGTCACCATGCAAGGAAAGACATTTATAGGTTTTCACTTCTCCTTAAAATTTGTGCATAGGATTTTTCCCGCGCCAAAAAAAACACGTAATCATACTTATGTGGCTGTCAAATTTTCTCACTTACCATGCCTAAAAAGGCCACTTAAGGTTTTCTACTTGCCAAAGGAATGTGCAATGCAATCTAAGTTTTCCTATTGCAACGAAAAAGAAGGGTATGGATACTTTGACTTGTTAACCTGCTTTGCATTTTTACATTTGCACGAGTTGTTGTTGTGTCTCTTGCTCACACACACACACACACACACACACACACACACACACACACACACACACACACATATATATATTAAAATAGACCCGTCTGTTTGCCTTTTTGAGGACATACAAGAAAGCTTTAGTTTATTAGCGCTTATATGATCTCTCAAATCACTCAAGAAATTGAACGTGACTCTTATGAACTCAATTATTATGTTTGGTTGGAGGGTTGTTTGTGAGAGGTTGGATGTATGGAGGAAGAGGTATGCTAGAGGTTGGGTTGCCTAGCAAGGCATTGAAGTTGTGCAAGGAGATGAGATTTTCAACAATTGAGAGACTAAGATTTTGGAGATGCTAGACTTTACTGTTAAAGTTCGCCACCGTCGGTGGATTGTCATTGATTTTGAAATGAGGTGCAGAGGTAGCTAAGGAGGGGAGGGGAGGTGGAGGCTGTGCGGCCATGGCTGTTGTTGGATGAGGGACTTTGTGGGAATTTCGTGAGCCTAGAGTGTGAGAGAAGAGATATGGGACAATGGGCAAGGTATTAAGAGTGAGATGGGAGTGAGAGCAACATGACAATGGGAGAGAGTATAACTAGATGAATGTTTGAGAGCCATAAAGGGATTGTTTGATTCATTCTTTTTTTAAAATAAATGAGGTCGAATAGGTGGGATGTGAGTCATGAGTAGGGTCTAAGCACGAAATCAGATGAATGGTTGGCGTGGGTTTTGTGATGGGTTCGAGAAATATAATTATATTTTTATAACTAATTTGTTTAATACATGTTTAAAACAATTACATATGTGTAATATGGTCGTTTCTTCTTTTTTCTTACCTTCTGGTTAATTTTGACACTTCAGATGCCTTGGTGTAGCTCGTTTTGTAAAACAGGCTAGCATTGAATAATTTTCATTCTAGTTTCTGCATTTTAAGATGAAATAATCTCACACATTGTTATTAATACTATTTGTTGTTTTTGTCATGCTTGTTTGACATAATTACGTAGGACATGCTGAGATCAACATTGTAAAGACTTCAAGGGAATTGTGAGAAGGGGCATGGTGGCTGGGAGGTTGTGAATTGTATACCGGGCCTTGAGGATTTGGTGGGAGCCTTTGGGAATGTAGGAAAGGATGAGGGTTGGCTAGGGTTATAGGTAAGGGGTGAGTTGTAACTCTTGGTTGATTAAGAAGTTATATGGAGATCAAGTCACCTTTTTGATCTAGTGGAACTAATAAGTTAAATTTTCTTAGTTGACTAGCTTTTACAAGAATTCAAAATCCAATGAGTTGGATTTTTTACCAATCAAATGGTAGCCAATTTTTGGGAAAAATAGTTAATTTTGGTGAGGTTTTGCTAAGGGTGTAAGTAAAGGTTGATATGTAACTCAGGTTAGTTAAGGAGTTACATCGGAGATCGAGCCTTTTTGATAAGGAGGAACTAATAGGTTAATTTGGTTTTGTTAGTTTTTATAAGAAGTCATAGTCCTCATAGTCCAATGAGTTGGATTCTGACCACTAAGATCTAAATTTGGGTTGGGGTAAGCAAATTTTGGGGAATATCGTTAATATTGATCAAGACTAATTAGGATTTATGGGGGTAATCATGTTGTTTCTAGTAGAGCTTTAAGCAAACCAGCACATTCGGTGACAATTTGATATTCTGATGCATGGCTCACTTGGTTAATTAACCTATTATCTCCACCCAAGATGCGTGTCGACCATTCAATTTGTTCTGGTTATTCAAGTATTTCAAAATCTCATGATTTGTGAATAAGGTAAACTCGCTCGTCAGTAGTTAGTGACTCTAGCGATTAAGAGATTTCACGATTGCATAGAACTCATTATCATGCGTTAAATTTTTTCCTTCTAAACCCATTCAACCTTTCACTGAAGCATGATATGGGGTGGCCTCCCTAGTTCAATGTTGCTCTAATCCCCACATTGGAGGCGTCACACTCCTCCTCGAACTGTTGATTGAAGTTCGATAATGTCATTATTGGTGCCTTAATCACCTTTACTTTTGGTGTATTGAATTGGCTGAAGCTAGATCTATCCACTAGAATTTCTCTCTTTTGAAGAGTTTGATCAGGGGAGCTGTGACAGTGCTGAAGCTCCTGATAAATTGTCTACAAAATGTTGCTAGCCCAAAAAACTCTCAACTTGGTAAAAGATTGGGGTGTTGCCCAGCTTAGGCTTCTATCTTTGTGGGATCTATCATAATGCCTGCAGCAGACACAATATAACCAGAACGACATATGAAACGGGGTTGCAGGGGGCTGAACTGGGCTTTAGGTTCAGCAAGGAGGCTAAGCCGACCGCTATAATTAGGTTTGGAGGGCTGCCACCTTCTCTTTTTCCCTTCCCCCTCCTAATTATCTTAATTTATTACAAATATGTTGTTAATTAGTTTTAGGGTTCAGTTTTTGTTCTGTTCTCTATTTGGGCAGCAACCGGTGTTCTTTTTCTTTCTAGGGTTGAATTTGAATTTGAGAAAGTGCTCCGTCTGTAACTTGTCTCGAGGTGGTGTAAAATTACTCGTATAGGTCTCCTTCTCGAATGGCTAAAAAATGTTCCAACAAGCAATCCTTAAATTCTTCTGACGATCAGATCGGATATTTAGTCTCCCTTCACTTAAATCATGCTAGGTCTTTCCACTCTAAACATAAACTTGTCGTCATGAGCTTTTACTCCTCATTTACCCATTCACCACATAATATCAATCCACCTTGTACTTTCACCCATGGGCATCTTTTCTCTAAAAAATCGACATCTTCAATTTCCTAGCTCTAGCATCTCCACCTTAACTTCCTCTACATTCGGTGTTTCCCCCTCTATACCCAATCCCGACTTCTTTCTTTTCTGTACTCCTCCATATCCCTTATATGGCCACATCTCTTTGACCCCTTCTCTATGTTTCGACGCTACAATGTCCATCAAAAATCTCTAATCCACCCCCCATTGGAGTCCTAGGAGGGAGTTTTTTATGGTGTATGCTTTCCTCTTATGTTCTCACGTTCGATCTTTTTCCTATTCGATTTGACCATATGATCTCCGATCAATCCTTGGTTAGAGTTTGCGAACTGAGCCGCTAATGGGGTCTTAGATTGCATCTCAATATGCTTCCTTATCATCTCTTCCATGCTCCCTAATCGGTTTTCCATGGACGAAAACCTATCATATATGGAGGAAAAATTTTCTTCTACTGTAGAGAACATTTCCTCGAATTTAAATTGGCTCGCCCCTTTCTGTACTTTCTTTCCAGATCATTTGTTTCTTTGCTGACGTCATTTCTAGACAAGTTTTTAATCACAAAAGACGGAAATACATGTACACTGAAATGTATAAAAGGTTTCGAGATAGTCTGAATCTCGTTTGTATCGTCAGTCAGTTCGATTTGATTTGATTGCACGACAGAATTGGAACACGCGAAAGATGAGAGTTTCATGTATGTGTCCTCCGTGTAAGATGAAAGTTTTGAGCCTCTGTACGCTACGTCGTTGCCTTCTTAGCAAAAGCTCTAATTGCGACTGTATAGTGTCCACGGAAAAAAAAAAGAGAAATATCGGTGTTTTGGGTCTCTGTATTTTGCGATCTCGTCGCTGCTTTCTTCGCAAGCTCTTATTTTGAAGGGAAGTTTTTGGTCTCAGTAAGCCGTAATCCCGCCGTTGCCTTCTCTGCTAGCTCTCTCTGTCGCAATTGAGGCGAAAGATGGGAGATTTGGTTCTCTGTCGTGAGTCTGTCACCGCTTTACAGGCTCGACCGTGACTTTATCGCACAAACGACGTGGGAGGAGGTGAAGGACGGGAGATTCAAGTCTCTGCCGCAAGCCCAATTGGTAGATTGGACGAGACATTATTTTCAGGCTGCGATTCTTTCCTCTTTTTGGGTCGAAAAACTCTAATACCACTTTGATACGATTTAACATAGAAATCGACATGACTTTCTACATAAATTAGGACAAACACATATTTTATTTCACGAACACCAAATTAAAACAATACAACACAAATACATATAGGATGAACACCTATAATTTGAGAGGTAGGCGATCTCCCCCAATTCCTACAAATAGAGAGGCAGGAAATATCTCCCAAAGCCTAACCCTAAAACCTAAAAATAACAATTCTCACACATAACCTTAACCGTAAGCTATTAAGTCTTATTTATACCCAACTAAAATAATAGTAAGAGATCAATTTGCCAGTGCGTAACAATTACCTTTATCCATACAAATTTGCTTTTGTTGTGTATCCTTATGGATAGAATGCAAGATTCTGATGCCTGTTCTTTCATCTTGGTAATGCCTCACATGATTATGGAAGTATTGACAAGTTTGAGAAAATAAATTATTTCTGAATTTTCAAGACATTCCAGTTTGAACAACCTCCTTGATGCATAAGGTGTTGCTTTCACTAACAAAGCAAGACTGGCCCTTTGTCTCGATGGATTGCACAACAAATTGTACTGTACTTTTCAAACTGTCGGTGATCACTATAACCCAGTTTTACTGAGCAGCCAAATGAAGATGACACTTCTGCCTGTTGGATCAGTCATACCAAACAGTGTAACATGAAATTTTTATGCTATGAAATTGCAGGTTTTGGCTGTTTGTTTTTTGTAACAATCTGATTTGGATACATCGAATAAATGGCTTAGATAGTTATTTATTGAGATTATTAAATGAAACCGTAGAGATGAAACTGTAGATCCAGCATTCTGAGACATGGAATATGATCTAGAGAATCAATACTAAACTGATTTTTTAGGTTAGCTTAAACTATTGGTATTGGTTCTGAATTTGGCCGTTTTAACCAAAATGCATGGTTGGAGAAAAATTAACATTGTTGAAGTTTAAAGAAAATGTTCGGCATACTTGCTTATGTTTTTCAATTTATGCTTATTTCCTAATTGTTGCTATGGTTTTAAATTTCTTTTGAATATGCAGTCCAAGAAGGCGTCCAGAAAGATGGCTTATGATTCTCTCTTAGCTATAAGTGGTAAATTGAAGGCTCCTCATTCTGATAGTGCTGATTCAGATCTTTTGCACCTTTTTAGTATGGTAGGCCACTATCAATTATATTATTGTTTGGTTTTCTTCTATACAAATATTTCTGAAACATACATAACCACTTTAAACGGAGTGGTATTTGTCTTAGTGTAATCTGCATTAACCTTTCAATAAAAAATATCATTCATTCTTATCTTACACTGAAAAATTTATGATTAAATCCAGCAGTATAGATTCTGAACTAAATGTCAGAACTTGAAACCCTGTTTAAATTGCGGAACTTTTCCCTAGTATGATGGCCCTGTATTGATCAGTTTGCACAAAAGGTACAAATAATCACCTTTTACCGCAAGTTGTTAACTGAGTTGTTTCGATGACATAATCCTTATTTTGTATAAGCAATTGTTTCCAAGCCATAATATGGTAACATGCTAAATTTGCATAATCATGGACTCAATTTAACTCATTTGAGGTATATCTCAGTCAGTTGTAATTATAACGTTATATTATTTACTTATATGGTATGATTGAGTGATGCAGGTTGTATAAACTAAATATGGCAGGCAATTCAAATTTATCAAGCGAATTATAGGGTCTAGAAATATTTTAAGCGTCATTTGATAGTCATTACTGATGGTAAATGAATAAACATTTTAAATATTTTGGCATAATGTGGCTTGATATGTTCTTTGTTTTTTTTTTCTTTATGAATTCATGCATCAATAGATTATTTATAAGCATGATTTAGTCGAATTTTCTTTCAACTTAAGTTTATTCACATATGCATGTCTTATACTATCCTTTCACTTCGCTTGGATTGACGTTCCCCCTCATTGGATGAAAAGGAGGTAAATCGCGACAGAAGGTTTGGTAAGTTTTATTTCGCGAGCGTCGGCCGACGCAGGTATGCAAAAAAACGGCATTTTATCTATGTTCTGAAACACGGGTGCCGACCAGCAGTCGACAACGCCACGTTTAAAGGAGCTTCGCCTTTCGACAAAGCTCCCTCCAATGTAGCCTCTAATGTAGCCTATCCCTGACGACATGATGCTACTCCTTTCCGCGGATTTCTAGAATCCTGTATTCTATTTTAGATACCTTAGGGGATTCTTTGAAGTTTATTTTATTGGATTATCATGACTTCTTGGTTGATTTTGTTTGAGGTTTCTTGGCTGTGGCTATTTGTGTTTCGCTTGCATTAGAAAAAAATATTACGTTCGGAGCCCTGACACAAGCTGCGTGTCCTGTTGTGATTCACCGGAAGGAGCGGAGGAGAAAAAAAAGCGACATCCGGTGGATCCCAGCCGTTGTCCGGTCGGTAATATTTTTTCCTTGCGCTAAGCCCACAGGAAGTTGTTATGTTGTTTCAATGAATTGTTTGGATGGCTTTTCTGCTCTGTTTTCAGCGATTTTTTTGTGATTCTCTCGACTATACTCTCAACTTTTCTATTTTCACAATAACATTTCCAGGTGATTACTGTGGGCTTTTTCCACTGATGCGATTTATTTTATTAGCTTTTTCATGAGATCTAAAATATGTCTTTCGAGATATTTACAAAAGAAGGAAAAAACTCTATAACAATTAAAATTTTTCTTTTGACGTAAGAATCATTGCTTTTGTTACATGATAGAATTATCAAGTGTCAGCTTGCCTAGTGTTTGTTTCATTACCTTTCCTCTCTCTCTCTCTCTCTCTCTCTCTCTCTCGCTCTCTCGCTCTCTCTCTCTCTTCTCTCTCTCGCTCTCTTCTTCTTCTCTTTGTTTATTATTATTGGTTGAAAGTACGAATGAATTTTGTCGGATTTGCTATATTATTACTTTATTTATTGACATGAAATTTCAAAATTTTTTGTGGCTTTCATAATCTTTGCCTTTCTTGTCATTCATTTCTAATGGGCGTCCAAAATCTTTTCTCTTGAATTAGATTTCACCATTTCTCAATTTCATCAAATGTAGTAGATAGTTGTTCTTAGATTAATTCTTGCTTTTCTGCCAAAGTTGCATGCATTTTGTATTATTTAATCTCATCTAAATCTACGTTGCGTGCTAGACATGCATTAAAAACGTTAGGCTCTTAAGCATCGTAAGCATACAACAATATATCAATCTCAACTTGAAGTAGGGCTGAATATCAGGGGCAGTTAATGTATTACTAAATGATTCAATTTGAACAGAATTAACTCAACTAGTATTTTGGGCACTGCCTTATCTTGTATTTAGTTAAAAATATAACCCCTACAGTTGATGGAATGGATAATGCTAATGATATTGTAAATTGGATGGATAAATAGAAGAATTCTTTGAAATGCTTAATTTTGCTGAAATAAATTAATGAAATTTGCTCAAACATTTTTGTAAAGTGGTGCCAATAAAATAAAGGAATATTTACATGCATACAACTCGATTCTTATTTACTTCATATCTAACATTTAATCTTGAATTTTTACACACCTACCACCTTAACTATGCATGAAAAGGTGTGTTTTACAATTTAAAAGTTACAATGGTGCTATTTTTGATGTGATATTAAAGATTTGGGTGAAATAAATTTAAATAGCAAATTTTAGGTGTTAGATATGTAAATACATAGGAATTGGGTGGTATGTATGTAAATACCCCTAAAATAAAATCTACTTGGTTTGAAATGAAGCATACATTTCGAGAACAATATTTATCATTCATGATTTACAAATATTAATTGTATGATCTTTTTTGAGAAATTGAAACAAGTTGATTATATTATGTTGAATATTTCAATAGAATTAAAAATTTGTAGGAAAATCTTTTATTCTTTTACTATTAATGCCTATTTCGTTAAAGATTTTGGTTGTGTAAGGAAGTTAAACATACGTGAAGCTACAGTCTCCAAAGATGATAGATGAAACTTACTATAGAGCTTTAGAGTTTGTTATTTGGCTCCAGGTTTATTTATTAACAAATTTATAAGAAAGCTTATTTAATGTCAGCATCATCATTGACATTTTCTTAGCACTTTGGGGTTGATTTTATATAAATCAAGTGATAATTGCCCCATATTTCAATCCTCCTTTTTTTATTCACTTTTTTTATGTACATTAGATTTTAAGCCTATTTTCCTATAAGTCTTTAAAATTTCTGCCCTAGTTATTTTAGGTTTACTCTTTTTCCCTTCTTAATCTTTCAACATTAATTTTATCAATAAATTTAATAGGTGCATTTTAAATCCTATATCGTGCATGTCCAAATTACCTAATCTAATTATGTCAGCCTATTCATGAATTTATTAATAATATCTACCTTTAAAATTATAAAATCTTATATGTCAAGGTTCATAGTTATTATGATTGTTATGTCAACCATTGGGATTAATTTCTTAAGTAGGTTTTAATTGACATGGTAATCATTTTTTATTCATATGGCTTGTATTGATACATTTCTCCAATTATAAGAAGAAAATTATGTGTCATACTATTATATATCTAAGTTTTTGTCATCGTGTTCAATGCTGGACTTATCTATATTGTATTAATTTGAAAGGTTATAAAAAACTTGTTATTGCCTTTGAATGCATCATATCTTACTATATTATCTATGATTTATATGTAGCTTGAATGAAAATATTCCTTATAATTTTTGCTCTATACTTTAACTTTGATAAGTATAATGCATATTTAAACGTTTGATGTCTAAAATTAAAGAAGGTGATAGGAGCATTTTCCATCTTAATGCAACTAGAAATTAATTTCATGAAAAAAATAATACAATATGGAGTCTTTTAACAAATTATGAGAATTGTGTGCTTGTTAGACATCTCAAAACTTTCAAGGTTTTCTCCATTTTTAACTTATTTTGCTTAATTCATGTATGAACTATCAATCAATGCATTGGATTTTTGCCTTTCTCCACCAAATTTTGTTTTCACATGAAAAACATTCTTTACATATTTCCTAGCTAGTTACATTAATTTTATTCTTGGAATTACAACCGGTGACAAAATCATGTTTAATGCCAAGGGTGTTTTGTGAAGTGAAAGATTGAGTTACGTGTGACGATTCATGAATTTATCAAACAAAAATTCAATAGCTATGGAAGGATATTAACTAAATAATTTATTGGAGCCCAATTGTATTTAAGCTGGGCTGACTTTAATATGATGTATAATTTAATGGGTACTTTTAAATTCTAATAAAGTAAGTATTCTCTTGTCGACAACTTTGGCAATTTATTGCGCTATTCGTAGGATTGCCATGTACCTTGTGCCACGTCTCACTAACACAGGATGTAATGGAGACAGGTATGATTGAACTTATTGAATATAACTCCAACATTCATTTTGTTGTTCTACATACCATAATAAAGTGTGTGATAAACTCAATCACTTGAATACACCCATAATTACATCTAGTACATGTCTCTAATTTACATAGATATAGTAGAATCAATCCATTCAAATTAAGCAAGAACAATCTAAAATATTTTATTTATATAGCTATCAACCATCAAAAACACGTTAATGTTCTTATGCAAAACATAAAATTCAGTTGATACATTACGTCAATTCATGTTTATCTTTGTTATATCATAAAAAACTTATATGATCAAGCACAAATCTCAATGCATTTTGAGCAAGAAACATTTCAAATACAAATTCTTGACTGTTCAAGCTTTGATTTCATAAAACATAATCAAACTGAGCGTCTTGGCGAGACTAACCCAACGATTTTAAAATTGATTGAATTTGGTTCCAATCAAGTCATTTAAGCACAATTGGATGTTTTGGTTCATCAAGTGGATGATCAAATGAACCATAAGTTTGATATATTTATAGTTTAATCGAGTGTTTGATGAGAGGAATCCAACGAGTCTAAGATCACTCAGTTCTGGAATCATTTATCTACCCAAATCCTAAAAAAATCACTTATGATCAAGGGTTTATGTGCCAAAAGTCTAAAATGCCCCTCCCAAATAAACTATAAATACTCTCCCTCTCTTCAATTGGGAGAGAAGGAGAAGAAAAAAATGAGAAGTGAAATTCCAAAGCTTGTTCTGAAGAGAAGACCTGATGAGTAGTCACCGGCCTCCATAGCGGCCAACCACCCTTGACCATCGACCTTCATAGCCGCCGACAACTGTCGACCACCACTTACCATCTCCACCTACCCACGGCCGTCGGCGACCTCTACTATCAACCTTACTGCTAGATTACGATTATTATTGAATTTTCTAACACTTGAATTCATTGAGCTATATACAAAAAAGGTGTAGTTTTTAATTTAAGATTGTAGCTCTGTCTCCCTATTGTGAGAGAGAGGCGTACCCCTCTACGTACCAACATATAGAGGTTCTTGTGAATTACTTTAACTGGACTAGTCGCTGCGGTCTTTTCCGTTTTGTTGTACAACTATTATAAGATTGTTGGTGCCTAAATGAGATGCACATACAAATGAGTAAAACAAAATGATTTGCACAATTGAAATTTATAAGCAAACGATTTGAAAAATAAAGCCCAGCTTCATTTAAATAAATCTCACACGAAAATTTTTTGCTGTTCAATTTCCAACTTGGCCTATGTCCATAAAAAAACATAAAGCAAGTTCCAAAATGTGTTAATTGTCATTCAAATCAAATTAGTATAATTTAATGCTC